AATAAGTAGAACTATCTAATAATCACCTTAAGATACAGGGTAAAATGTCTGATGAAGTTCAGCACTTCGGTATGATAAATACCGGCAGTAAATGAAAAGACAACCCCCTCCCTTTGATGACGATCACCTATGAACATCCCTAGAAAAATCACCTTAGATGATGAACTACTGAAAGCCTTTGGAGACAAAGGCCCACAACTCAGTCCCAACAACATGGGACAGAGTGGACGAGCACACACAGGTCACCTGGACCGTGACAAAGACGACAGCCGTGGTGTAGCTCAGGAAGATGTTAACACATGATGCGGGATGAATCAGCTACCAGGAGGCTGAGAGGAGCCCTGACCTGCACCCCTCGCAGCCTATGCAGAGATCAGTTTCAGAGGGATTGCACACTAAATCCGAAAGAAGAAAAAAAAAAAAACCTAGCCAGGCGGTGGTGGTGGCACAGGCCTTTAATCCCAGCACTCGGGAGGCAGAGCCAGGCACATCTCTGTGAGTTCAAAGCCAGCCTGGACTACAGAGCCAGCTTCAGGACAGTCAGTTTCTCTATGTAGAAACACTGTCTTAAAAAAAAAAAAAAAAACAAAAAACCAAAGCAAACAGACAAAACCCCTCACACCCTGGTAGCAAACAGTCCTTCAAAAGGAAAGTACGGAGCATAAGGGCAAAACTGAGAAGCAAAGTTTCATTCAAACTGAGTGTGTCCATTCACCCAAAGATGACGTTAAGAAAACGCAAGTGAAAAGTCACAGAAAGTATCAGACACTCGTGATAAATTTATTTTAAAATACTCATTTCCAAACGTATGGATTCTGATCAAACAAAATACAAAAGACAATGAATTAAAAACTAGAATATACACTACTTTATAAAAGATAACACCCATTTAGTGGTATGCATATTATAATCAAGGAAGTGAAAATTAAAAGTCTAAGCTAGAGCTATGCACGCACAGCGAGAGAACAGCGAGAAAAGACAGCAGTTTTTTTTTTATCAATTATATGTACACAGATTAATAGCAACAGTATATTAAGCCCCAGATTCGTAACAACTCAGATGTTCAACAGCAAGAGAACAGATAAAGTGAGATACAAGTATACAATAAAATACTGCCTAACAATGAGAGTGAATGAGGGTAATTACAGAGTCAAAAGTGAGTTTCACAAGATGCCGGATATAATCACATCAAACTCAAAGTCACGTAGGACAGACACAGGGGTAGGGAAGTTACCTTGAGGAGACGGTGGTAGCATCAGGGAGGGGCGCAAGGCAAGGTTCTGAGGCACTGGCAATGCGCTGTGATTTGATGTGGATCACAGTTACAAAGGTGTTTTTGCTTCGCAATAAACTCAGACTGTTTGGGTAAGATTTGTGCACTTTGTTATAAATCTCTCCATTGTCCTTTCCCACAAAATAAAACCAGAGACAGAGATTAGAAGAGGATAAAAAAGCGAAATAAAATTCATGTAACAGCACTATAAAGCAGACAGAACTAACAAACATCCGTAGAACACTCTGAACAAGTATTTTTCTCAAGTGTACATAAGACATTCTCTAGGATATACTAGGCCATAAAAGTGGCTTCAGGAAATTCAAAAGGACTTAAGTCATGCTAAGTGTGGCTTTTTGGTCACACTGGGATGAAATTAAAGACCAGCAACAGAAGGGGATATGAGAAGTTAAGGAATCTGCAGAAATGAACCTTCCTAAGCAAGCAGAAGTTTAGGGAGAGCACAAGGCATTGGGAAAACACTGAGCTGAGTGGAGAGAGATGTCTGGGATGTGCGAGCAGAGCCGTCAGGATACTAGGGCTGTAAGGAAAAGGAAGGCATCGGCCAAGGGCCTAACTTTCCCCCTTAAGAACGCATGAAAAGAAGGGCAGCGTAGTCCTAGAGCAAGCAGAAGCTGGGCAGTAGCAGACCAAGGAGGAAACATGGCAAGTAAAATCTAAGCTGCTTCTTCAGAAATACCCAGAACGTCAACAACCCTGCAGTTGGCCTGATCAAGAAAACCAGTGAGGAGGTTACCAATACTGAGTCTTGGAATGAACAAGGTGGGGTCTCTTGACGTTTTGGTTATGTGCCTCGTTTTTAATGGCTGAACCTCGCGATAGCCTTCCAGGTACGAGCTCCATTTTGAGAGAACATTATGAACAGTTATATTGAACAAATTAAGATGATCTCGTTGAAATGAGTATGCTCCTAAAAAGACATAGATACCAAAACAAATGCAAGACCAAAGTTCTGAGAGTCAGAACAAACAAGACATGGGATTTTGAACCAGAGACCTCTCACAGCTAAGGTCCACATGGCTGCTGGACCCACCAGACTTTTAAGGAATTAGTAGCCATATTCTTCCAAATTCCTCCTCAGTGGAGACGAGGAGGGAGTGCTTCAGTGCCCGTTCTGGGAGGGCAGAGGAGACGGCTCAGTTGTAGAGTGCTTGCGGGACAAACCTGAGGACCTTGGTTTGACCCCCACCACCATTCAAAGTCCGGGTGTGGTGATTCACACTGGAACCCCAGAACTGGGGAAGCAAAGGCAGGAGGATCTCCCAGCTGGCTGCTCAGCCAGCCTAGCCAAGTTCGTGAGCCCCAGTGCCAGGGAAAGACCTTGTGTAAAAACCAAAACAGACCAAGATAGATCATGTGTAAAATGACTGACACCTGAGGTTGTCCTCTGGCCTCCACACACATGCACACCCAGGGGATATGCACACACATACAGAAAAACACAAAGACGGTGTAGAAAAACAATGAGTATAGACACAAGAAAGCAATCGCCGCTGAAGTACTAACATGCTTATTTCAAACAAACAAACAAGAACCACATATTACATGTTTTTTTTTTAATCAAGTAAGATTTACCCCAGGAATGCAAGATTAATTTAATGTTTAAAATTAAAAAGTAGCAACTGAATGAAAGATGGAGAACTATATATATGGAAACCTAAGTAGCTACAAAAAAAAAAAAGGACTTGGCAAATTCAACAGCCTTTAATGATCAAAACATGCAGGTATCTAGGAAAAAAAAAGTCTTCTTCAATCTGACAAAGGGGATTTCTGGAAACCATGATTTCACGGTGAAATGGAGCAATGCTCAGTGACTGAGAGCGCCTGCTTGCTGCTCTTCCAGAGTCTCTAACATCCACATTAAGCTGCTCACAACTCCAGGGGATCTGATGCCCTCCTCTGGCCTCCACGGGTACCATGCACTCATGGACTCACGGTGGGGGCACAAACGCACAAACACGCACACACATCTTTAAAGTCAGGAATAAGATAACGATGTCTGCGTTTACCACTCCTTGTGTGGTACACACGTGTGTGCAAGCCCTCACAGAGCTAAAGGACAGTCCTGGCTGTCATTCCTTACAGGGCTTTGGTGGCCTTTGCTGTTTTGAGATAAGGTCTCTCACTGGCCTGTGGCCCGTGGTAGTTGAGGCTGGCTGGCCAGGGAAGCCCAGGGACTGTCTCTGCCCCTGTTGGGACTGCAGGTTACTATTTCCTTTCTGGTCACATGGCTTTCTTGACCATGTGCCTTGGCCACAACATACCACACAAGAGAGCTCTGCTGGGCAGGTGCTGTCTTGAAAGCATGAAGACCCGAGTTTTCATGGCATTCTCTTGGAATCCCAACAGGGGGAGCTCCGGGAAATGCAACTAAACGTCCATACACAACTGAATGAAACGGGATCCCCCCCACCCCCTCATAGGCTGTGTAAATAACCTAAATGGATCAGATGTCCACACAGAAGACTGTAAGACTCATAAGGACTACAGTGGAGAACCCTTTATGCGAGGACGCTAGTCTTAGATACGGCACCAACAGAACATAGAAGAGCAGAAGATGAGCTGGGAGAGAGACAAGCTGTATTTCTATCAAAGTAACAAGAGAATGAAAAGACACCTTGCAAAACAAGAAAAAAAAAATCTCTGCAAAAAAAATTACCTGAAAAGGGACTTGTACCAAGACAGAAATTTGAGTGTGGTGGTACACACCTATAATTCCAGCACCCACAAAAACTGAGGCAAAGTTAGAGGCCAGCCTGGGCTTATAGTGAGACCCTGACACACCCTCTCTTTCTTACACACACACACACACACACACACACACACACACACACACACACACTTTTATAATTCAATAGTAAAAAGGCAACTACTCTATATATCAAGAAGAGTTTGCAATCCTTCACAATGTTAAGTGTAATTACTATGCAACCTGGTGAGTACAGTTCGACACATGTCCACACCAACGTTAGGATCCAGGTTTTCACAGCAGCAGCACTCACATCAGCCAAAATGTAGAAAGAACTGAGACGCACATCAGCGCAGGAGTGGTAAGCAAACAGTGGGACTCTGCACTAGAACACTGCCTGGAAGTAAGCAGGAAGGAAACACCAACACTGTGCCCCAGGGACAGACCTGATACGACTATGTTAAGTGAAAGAAACGAGTCAAAAGAGAGCAAACCTCGCGTTCCTTCACTGATATGCAATGCCCAGAACGGGCAACATACAGAGCAGGGAGAAAGGACAGTGACGGGTCATAGGCACAGGGGCTTCTCCTGGGACAATGACCATACTCTACTCAAGCCTCTAGCCAAGGTGGTGGCGCACACCTTTAATCCCAGCACTCGGGAGGCAGGGGCAGGTGGATCTCTGTGAGATCGAGGCCAGCCTGGTCAATAGAATAAGTGCCGGGACAGTCAGGACTGTTACATAGTGAAACCCTGTCACAGAAAACCAAAAACCAAAAACCAAAGCCTCTAATAATTATTTTTATGGGAGAGGTATGATGTCTTTATAAGTCCCACTTGAATCTAAGCTGGAAATGATTTTTCTTAGGATGCTGGGAGCAAAGAGGGGCTGAGAAAGGAGGAAGACAAGCTCGTGAATGACAGCCGGGCCCGCGGTCTTCCACATCTGTCGTCCACATCTGTCGTCCGCATTGCGCTACGGCCTCTCAGGCACGCTCGTTTCCAGCTGTAACTCACCAAGTCTATAGACTCCAGTTGTGGCTCGGCTGACTGAACTGCAGGCGCCTCGGTTTCTTCTTCTTTCTTTTTGCAAGGCATTTGCTTGGAAGGAAGTAAATTATACCACAGCATGAAAATCTCGTTGGAAAATGGTAAATCTGCCAGGCTGATCTGAGTCCCAGCCTATGGGAAAAGGAAGAAATAGAGAGAGAGAGAGAGAAATGAAAAGTTTAAATGATTGTTTGTTCTCCCTGGTAAGACAAAGATGACCGGGTGAGCTTGTCTTAAAGCAGAACCAACACACTACTGGTGACATAATACACTGGCTCTGCATGTGCGTGTGCATGTGTGTGTGCCTGTGTGTGAGCATGTACTTTCATGTGCGTCCATATGTATGTGTAGGGGTCAGAGGATGACTTTGAGATACCTTCCTCAATTTCTTTTCCACTATGTATTTGTTTATTTGTGACAGGGTCTCTCACTGAATCTAGAGTCAAGGCCCTAGGATCCGCCCGCCTCTACCCCTCCAGTGCTGGGGTTAGGCATGCACCACAGAGTCCTGCTTTTACATTGGTGTGTGATCTGAACCCAGATCCTCATGCTCCTATAACAGGTACTTAACCCATGGACCATCTCCCCTGCTCAGGACTGGCGGGTTTTTTAAAATCTGGGCATATTGATACCTTCAGCTGTGGCTCAGTAAGAAATAATGCCCAATGGAGCTGCCAATCCTGGGATTATTTTGTAACCTTAAATTTTCCCAACTAATTTCCCCAATGACTTAAGCATGCAACTTTTTCTAAACATGGAATTACATTTAAATGAAATTTAAAAAAATAAACAAATAAATGGTTAACTAGAAACTAAAGTACTTCTTTTAATATGTCAGAAGAGTGCCTTGAATATGACAATACATCGTAATTCAGAAAGACGTTTAAAGACTGGGACTCTGTCTTGCTCTTAAAGGAGAATGTAGCAAGTTTTTTCTTGTTGTTGTTGTTTTTGTTTGTTTTGGCTCTGTGGGTCACTAGAATGCCAAAAAAAGGAAAGATAAAAGCAACTTCAGATCCCACCTAGCCACAGCCAGATTCTAATCCCGACTCCACTGCTCCCGAGAGGCTGCCAGTGGACATGTTCAGCGATCTTACTGGAGCCTTTGGCACGTGGTAATGCGGTATCTACAGTCTGATGCCCAACAACCACCTCGGTGCCATCCTAATGTTACTATGAGACAGTACCTTTTTTTTTCAAATAAAGAAGAAAAGAGGAAAACTATCTTCCTTTTTCCTGTGGTCATATTAAACATGTGTTCGTCTCCTACTGGACCACAGAGAAGCAGCTGTTTTGATCATGTGGGCTCCTGTCTGGACGGCCGTATTTGAGCAGGCTGTCCAGAGGGAGATGGCGGCCTAACTGGGCATGACAGCATCCTAAATACACAGTTAGTTCAGTATGAAACCTTTCTATCACTTATCACATTTAATCATACTGTTCCAAACAGTAATAATTCTGTCTAGATGATCTAATACCATGGAAAGGCAAATGGGTTTAATTTCAATTTGAATCCGTGAATTTGGATGGGACAGTTTTGACATCCAGCTCCATTACCTGCTATGAGCATAACCCACTTCCGGCAGTTGTTTATCCCAAAATAGGTGACCAAATTTCCCATCATCAAACTTCCGTGTAATTGTTCCGGTGTAAAGGAGCTTACTATAGAAAGGGCTCCACACACACGTTTGGCATTGGGAACCGCAAGCTTACGCCACAGAGCTAGTGGGAGCAAAGGCAAAAGTTCTTCCATACCCAAAGAGTAGCATTGGAAAGTCAAGCTTTACAGGCATTAAAATTTCTAAGCAGATTTAAAAAATCTGGAATGGGAGGAAAAACATTCTAGAAAAACAGAAAAAACCGGGCCGGTGGGATGGTTCAGCGGGTAAAGGTGCTTGCCACCCAGCCAGGCGACCTGTGTTTTTTCCTTAGAAGCTACATGGCGACAGAAGAGAACTCATTCCCCGAGTTACCTTTTCACCTTCACATGCGTGCCTTGGCACATGAACACACCCACCCCCAAATACATAAATAAATAAATAAATAAATAAATAAATGTTTTTGTTGTTCGCTTGTTTTAAGCAGTAGCTACTGTTGGCAAAGCGTAAGTAGAAAACAGCTTTGCAGAACAGGGTCACAGTGTTCCCTGAGAGGGACTGCGAAGGCGCCTACCAGGCATTCTTCTCTACGGTGTTTACCGACGGAGCAAAGGTCCACTCTGAGGGTCTTCTGCTGCAGGGCTGCCTGAGAAATGACCACCCGGAACACGTCGTTGTACAGCACAGACTCGGTGGGTGGATGGACTTTTGTTCGAAATAGACAGCTCACTTCTGCCGAGGAGGGAAGCACGGCAACCCTAAAATACCTGCAAAGAACAAGAACAGAACGAAATCTCATGGGCACATCAGGGACCGTGGATCCGCCGCCGCCATCATGTGCAATTAGCTGCAAAAGAGAGGAAACGAGGAAACATGGAGAGCATTATCGGATGAAAGTGCCGCGGCCAGAACGGGCCCATGCGAGTGCAGCTGCAGACATTCTGTTCTTAACCCACCCGTGCCCACTGGGCCCCTCCACGTGAAAAACGCAGCCTGCCGTCACCAGGAGACTGCAGCAAAGGCGAGGTGAGGAGGAACAGTCTGCAGGGCTGCAGGGCTGACCTCCCCACGTACATCAACTCGAAAGTAAGTGGATTTTGAGCCGGGGAAGGTGGAGACACGCTAACGTGGACACTGGTGGTTTTCTCTCCAAGAACCCTCATCCTGAGCATCCAAGGACAGACTGTTGACGAACAAGCCAATGAACGGGATATATTCCCCTACCAGACACAAAGAGAGGCTAAGAGCATATTGTTAACAAGATGGAAAACAGATGAAGCGGCACTTCCAAAAAAATATCATTGTCTAGCATCTCTGCCGGCACAGACGAGACGAACTTGCAGAAGGATCTCACTCTGTGTACGTGTAAAGGCAAGTGTGGGACAGCAGAGGCTCCCAGTGCTCCTCAGGGGTTCATCTGACACCCAAGGAAGACTCACGGTTCTCGGGAGCAGCCTGAGGTGTTTCCCTAATTCAGAAAGAGAAATCCACTAAATCTCCCCACTTCCCGTTCCCATTCTTGTCTAATGGATATTCTAAAATATTTTTTTCTATTTAGGGAAATCTGTAAATTCAAACCCATAACTAAAAATTTCACGTTATTTTTTTTTATTTTATATCGACATTAATTATAAAGAATCTCCATCCAGCTCTGCCCCTGCATGCCCCTCCCCCTTTGGCTATGAGGAACTTAACGGTAACCTGTTAGTAAACATCCAGGACTCTTACACATATTCTGTGGAAGTCCTGGCCTCTGAGGACGACACTGTCATTAGGAAAACAGCCGCCTGGCTGACATGGAGTCATGGGAACCACTCAGCTGTTGTTTTAACTCCATCTCTGTCCTGCCATGTCCAGAAAGGAGGTTCAGGGCAGAGGAGACACACAGACTTGGTATTCTGTGTCACACAGCCCCGAGCCCTTCTTAAGGGAGTCACTGAGACTCTGGCTCTAGGGTAGACTTGTGATAAAGAGCTGAGAAAGCAGCTCTCTTAGGAAACAGCCCAGAGGCAATGGGCAGTGAAGAATTACATCAATACTTCGTTGGGGTTCCTGGTCTAACACAGTGATGTAACTGCACCTGAGAAATGACCGGTCCCTGGACGTGACCATGGAGAGGTAAAAGCAGGCTCTTTCATGGAGCAAATTTCTGCGGCAATGTGTAATGTAATCACTACATATTCATGTATGACATCAGAAAAAAAACTCTCTAAACTAATACTAGTAACTAGTATGCAATAATAAAAATTAAAATCATATTTCCAGCAATCAGGCCCCAGCACAGCCTCTGGTCAAAGAAAGGAACCATAGAGACTTAACTCCTAACCTTAACAATAACCATCTGAATAAAGACCTAACCTTTTTTCCTTTCTCACATGTCTCTTCTTCTTTCCCTACGGTTGCTTCGGACACAACCAGCCTGGCTATCTCTCCCCTTACCTTCATTTTTAAAAAAAGATCTGTTTTGTTTTTAACTATGTGTATCTGTGTGTGTCCACGTGCAGGTCTCTGCAGAGGTCAGAAGAGGGCAGCAGTGCCCTGGAACTGTAGTTATGGGTGGTCGGGCGGGCACTGTCCAATGTGGGTGCTAGGGAAGCAAATATGGGTCCCCTGGACGAGCAGCACATCTCGAGTTGCCCCACCCCCCAGCTCCCGCCATGCCTTCATTTTGATGAACTGTTGGCTCATAGGCAGAATTATTGTAACTTGTTTATTTTTATTTTTTTTTTTACTGACTTTACTTACACTTTTGAAGAATGAGGTATCAAGAAGGCATGAAGATTCCGGAGTTGTGCTATAATCACCATGAAGCTGGCACTTTTGGTCTCGTATCTGTCAAAGGAGACAATGGATCAAAGAGAGTAACCTCGGCCGCTGGCCGCACCCCCGCCCTCACTGGCTTACCTGAGTCCTATCTGCACCTGGGCGGTCTCCACAATGGTGACATCCTCTTCATGATAGGGCGTGTCCTCCATTTCACCAGGCCTAGGCCAGGAGCAGGTGGACAGTCGGTTAAGAGGGGTATTGATTGCTACGGCTACTCTTCGTTTTCTCTCATTTCAAAGGGAACCTGAATTAACAGCCTTTCCATCCCACTGCTGTGGAGCAGACCCCTGTGGAAGCTACTGATTCGGGCTTCTTCAACTCCATCGAGAGTCTGACTTGAGCTTAGGGAACAAACTTTGTGACATCTGGCTTTCCTGAGCCCGGTGAGGCTATCCCACTGGATCAGGGGCTTTCAGACACCTAAACAAGGTATTCATGTGTCAAGCAAGCGTTGGCCAATCACCAAAATTCCCAGGAAAATCAGTGTCTGAAATCTCAGGTCAGCTGCCTCTGAGTACACCAATCTGCTTGTGATTTCCTTAGCTGGCAGGAGGTTTCTGGTAGAGGACCACACTTTACAGTGTGCACCAGCCTGGCTGACGGGTATGCAGGGGACTGCACTTTACAGTGTGCACCAGCCTGGCTGACAGGCATGCAGGGGACCACACTTTACAGTGTGCACCAGCCTGGCTGACGGGCATGCAGGGGACAGCACTTTACAGTGTGCACCAGCCTGGCTGATGGGCATGCAAGGGACCACACTTTACAGTGTGCACCAGCCTGGCTGACGGGCATGCAGGGGACCACACTTTACAGTGTGCACTAGCCTGGCTGACGGGCATGCAGGGACTGAACGTGTCCCACCCTGCAGGTTCCTTACTGTTTTGTGGAAGCTTCATAGACCCCACTGTCTCCAGCCACAGACTCATCAGAGGCAGCGGCTGACACACAAGCAGTTTTGTCTCCACGCAGATGGATCCCTCCTCTTTTGGGTAATGATTTTTCCACATCTAAGGTAGAGAAAGTGGTAGCATCATTCGTTTCTTATTGGGACAAGTGTAAAATACACCATAGACGCCCAAAGTACAATTTCTGTCTTAAAGTCGAGAACATTACTCCCTGTATTAACAGACGGGATGAGAGAAGATGCTGGAATTCAGAGGGTCTGGGATTTGGTTAGTTGGGAAAAACTGTCTTTGCTTTTGCCTAAACAATTTTTTAAAAAGATTTATTTTAAGTGCATTGAATGTTTTGCCTACATTTATATAACTGCACCATATTCATGCAGTACCCAGGGAGGCCAGAAGGTGGCGTTGGATCCCCAGGTCTGGAGTTACTGGCAGTTGTGAACCACCCTGTGGGTCCCGGGAACTGAACTCAAGTTCTCTGCAAAAGCACCAAGTGCTCTTAGCCACTGAGCCAGCTCTCAACACCATCTCCCTAATTAAAAAAGAATAAAAAAAATGTGTGTGTGTGTGGGGGGGGGGGGGGGGGGGGGACATGTGGAGGTCAGAGGAAAACTCGCAGGAGACAGCTCTCTCCTTCCATCCTGTGGGATGGAATTCAGGTTGTTAGTCTTGGATGCAAATACCTTAATCCACTGACCCATCTCACAGGTCCTTGCCCTAAGATACTTTAAGGCAAGGGATCCATAATTTCCCATTATCCCCAGCTCCTTTGCTTCAAGCTTTCATGAACAACCACAGGCCTTGGCTAAGCAACCATGTGCCCCCATCAAACACTCGCGCTAGCCCTACTTGAGGAACTCCAGCAACTCCACAGAGGAGACTTCACTCCCCTGCGTCTCTCAACACGCCCCTTTCTCCTTCTCCTGTGCCCCTCTTCTAACAGAAACTAAAGAGAAAGCATCTTTGATTTCCATGAATTCTCACCAGCTAATACCACTAAAAAAAAAAAAAAAAAAAAATCCACAAAAAACTTTTTGTGTGCTACTGAATCTTTAGCAGCAGCTACCACTTAACTTTTATCTCTAACTCATATTCATACACCAGCATCCTGCAGGGAGCGAGGAGCATTCATTGAAAGTTGTGCTCTGTACTGTAATAAGCTGTAAGCCCGTGGAGCGCTTTCATCCTCCGGTGAGTGAGCCCGAGGAGCAGGATTGGTATGCACGCGGCCCCCCTCTGAGTCATGACTGTACATCCTGTTAAGATGTTTAAGTTTTAAGGCTTCAGATTACAGGATTGATTGCGGCATTTTCCCTTTTATTTCTGGCAGTGGGGATGCTTTTGCCTTGATGATGAAGTGCCTTCTCTGTGCCCACCCCCCTTTGTGAGGGGTGAAGGTGATGACATGATTTATTGATTACCCCCAGGAATAACCGCAGCAGTCTGGAAACTGACTTTGACAATGACAGCCACTGACTGTGGCAAGACTTCATAGTTATTCCACCTCGGTTTCTGTCATGCGGCAGGGATTGGTGCCGAGAGCAAACGGCCTGGCTTCACCTGTGGAAGGCCCTAGGATGTTAAGACAGGAACAGCGTCCTTCCACATGCCCCCGCCCTTAAAGGTGGGAAGATGTTCCTGGGGCCTGAACAGTTAGTCTTGACGGTTAAGACACACGCCTTAAGCTGTTTTCCAGACAGGAAGCTGAAAGCGAGCTGCAAACAAAGCCTTGTGTGCATTTTCCCAAGTGACTGTCTTGAGGTACTGGAGATGGTTCGAACCCAGGGCTTCAGATGTCCTAGCCAAGCACTCTGCCACTGAGCCACAGCCAGGCCTACGGTGCCCTTTTAACAACAGTGTTGTGTAACACTTAAGAGGTTAAAAAAAAAAAAAAATGGTTTCATGGGAACTTTCTCCAGGCACCTGTCTCCAGCCGCAAATCTTCAACAAAGTCACCAGCAAACCCAAGCATTAGGAACTCGGCAGCCATGCGCCACCAGCCTGTGTAACTGGGGGCCCGGGAGCACTCGGTGACAGCCCCTATGCTGAAGGCTTTGGGACCCTGCTGCTTTTTGAGCATCTACCCTGATGGCCTGGGTTCACCACTTGATGAGATGTCGAGAAATGCTCACTAGAGGATATTCCAGATACCTAACGGGCGGAGTCAGTTACAGATGCTCAGGGAGTCTCATGGCCCGAAAGGCACAAAAGAATGGCACAACCACACAAGTGCTCTGCTTTCTCTCCTCGCCTAAACCGGAGTGTGGTGTGAAGGGAGTGGGCACACCAGCGTTTACGGGCTCTCCTCAGCACACAGGATAACAACTACCACAAACTGCGTGCATGTGTCAGGCACACTTGGATGGCGTTCTCTGAGGGTGACTATGCAGATGAGGAATGGGTCTAAAAGACAGGATAGGCTGCTCACCAAAACGGCCAAAGAGGCTAGAGAAGAGAGTCAAGGCAATGGTGCTCCGTTGTACTTCTTCCCACAGGCCATTGTGAGGCCCACAGTGGCTCTCTGTTGTGGAGAGCCATTATGGACCCATCTCCATGTGCTTATTTGTGTGTGTGTGTGTGTGGGCAGTATTTTAATAGAATGGCCTGCAATGTTGGCACATCCCTGAAAGAGGGCATACAAACCGTAGGAAGGTCTCATCCACTCCAGCTCTGCCCCGGTCGATAACGAGAACACAGCACTTCACTATTCAGTACCAGACACTCCTAAATCAAGTTGGATTCTACATCTTTAAAGATTTCAATCGACCAATCAACTAATACTTAGAATTCCTAGGCCTGTGTATACACATAAAAAACACTCCTTAAGACAGCAAGGACGGGGGTCTACAGGGGCTGCCCTTTCTGCATGGTGGGATGCGCTGACACATGTTGACTGCACAGAGTTCGCTTTGCACCTTGCTTCAAGCTAGCGGTAGAGTGGACTATCCCCGGAACACAGGAGGCACTGTACAGCAAGGGTGCCATCTGCTCTTCACACCTATGGCATTCACGGACAGCTTCCGCAGTGCGGAGGAAAGCCACGTTAACGAAAGCAGGCCCATTCCAGAGTTTCGGCATCTGTCAGGAAGGAACCACTCGGCCCATCTCTTCCTGGACCTGCAGCTGGGAGAGCAGCCAGCAGATGGCAGAGTAACTCTGGACACCGGACTACAGCCACCAAGGAACTGAGGAACTGAGGCAGAAGGGGAGCCTGGGCACAAACCAAAGGCGGTGTTTATACAGAACTCCCCAAGCAAGCTAACCACTGAGCCTTTGCGCTAACTAGCCAACACGCTAATTGACTTTGTTTTCATCGGTTTCAGGGCAATTTTAAAAAGAAAGCCCTTGTCTCCTTGCTATTTCTGAACCAGAGTCCAGGTGGAAGTGTGGACTGCTGATAAAATACATCCTAGGCATCTACCACCCACAGAGGACCCCTGGACTACAGAACAGGTGCTGTCTTCCTCGGTAACTCTCCACCTTACTCTTGGGGACAGGGTTGAAGCTGGAGCTCAGCAGATTGGGTTCTGCTGTCTGGTCAGGAAGCCCTGGGACTCCTCCCAGCTCTGCCTCCCTAGCACCGGGATTGCCGGTGTGAGCTGCCACAGCGGCTCGTCCATCAGTGATGGATCTGGACTCCGACTTCAGCATCTCCTCAGCCCCTGTTTTTATTTTGGGGTACTGAACCCAGGATCTACACACACGAGACAAGCAAGCTGTCTATCACTGAGCTATAAATATGTCCGTCCCCCACGTCCCACCCCCACCCCCCGTCTGCAATGGCAACCTTTATTTGACAGAGACGAAGTCTAGGTATAGAATAAATGCTCTTTAAATGAACAGCCTGGAGAATGAGAAGGGAACCATACCCTTTCTTTATATGTGGAAAGAGTGACCTAATCCCTCCTAAAACGGCTGGGGTTGGGGGGTGGGGGGTGGGAAAGCACAGCTCTGCACTTACCTGTTGTCCCTTCATATAGCAGCTCTCCCGTGCACTCATCAAGGCCCTTATCCTCTAAGAGAGACTGGGACGCTCCTGAATCTGAATCCAGCAGGACCTGACTTTCACCAAGGCCAATGTCAGCAAAGTGGCTGCTTAATCCACAGTCCTCGAAGTCCACAGTGAACTGGTGCAGAGAGGCGTCATGAGAAGACACCGGAAATGCGCTGTCCAAGACCAGAGGAGAGCCGGGAGGGGACAAGGATGAAAGAGAGGACCTGGAGGAAAGGGACGTCACTGACTTGGAGGCCTCGGTCAGCGGGGGAGTGTGGCTGGTTGGGGCGACTGCCACCCCACAGAGTCCACTCTGCCCGGGCTGGCTGGGAGACTTGGCCACCTCATTCTCGTGGATGGTGGTGATGGGTCCAGAAGGAATGTAGCCACCCTTCTCTTGAAGAAGGAAGTCCAGTTTATACTGATAATCTGCGTCCATCTGCTCGCCCTGGCTGCTGTAGTAGAGTTCACTGGAACTGAGCGAGTTGAGGGATCCTCTGCTGGAGGTGTTCAGAGAGCCCCGGCTGGATGTCAGCGACCCCAGACTGCTGCCAGATGACATGGACAGTGTGCTGGAGGAGAGGCTGGGAGAAGAACAGTCCACTGTCAAACCTGACTACACAGAAGAACAGCTACAGCACAGGCTCCTTCAGACAGGAAGGGAATGGAAACGGAGATGCCTGAGTTAAATCTACAGCCCGGGCAGGGGAGCTCGCTGTTGGAACAACCACTTCCCTACTCACTCAGTAATGTTAGCAACGCTGCTCTCTCCTCATACACCTCAGAAATTCTGGTCTTTTTTTTTAAAGATCTATTTATTTATTATGTACATACACTGCCTGCATGTATGTCTGTGTAAGGGTGTCAGATCCCCTGGAACTGGAGTTACAGACAGTTGTGAGCTGCCATGTGGGTGCTGGGAACTAAACCCGGGTCCTTAACCTTAACCTCTGAGTCATCTCTCCAGCCCCCAGTTCTGGTCTTTTTAAACAATACACGATACATGGCCAGGAGGGTGGTGCGCACCTTTAATCCCAGCACTTTAGAGGCAGAGACAGAAGGGTCTCTGTGAGTTCAAGGCCAGCCTGGTCTACATAGCCAGCTCCAGAATAGCCAGGGCTCCACAGAGAGACCCTGTCTCCAAAATAAATAAATAAATGAGTAAGTAAATAACCATTAAAGGCTGGTAAAGTGGCGCACATCTTTAATCCCAACACTCATGATGCAGAAACAGGTGGATTTCTGTGAGTTCGAGTCTAGTCTGGTCTACAGAGTGAGTTCTGGGACAGTGTGGGCTACACAGTGAGATCATTGTCTCCACCACCAGGGATACATCTTTTGCAAGAGTTTAAGTCAAATCAAATGCTTATTTGTAAGTCAACATGCAGAGCCATCCACAGCAAATTTATACTTTAAAAATACTGGAAAAGACTAATGTGTCACTGTAGCTACAGTGGCTAGGAAGAAAAGCTCTTATAAAGACATCAGGCAGCAGACCCAGGAGCTCACTCATGTAAAGTGACTATTCGAATCGGTGTAAGAAATCAGCGGCAGCTATTTCACGGGAGATCTCTTATCTCCTTTGGTAAAAGGCGGGATGGCGGCAGAAATACACTATTTCCCTAAATTTTAAGTGGTGGAAAAAAGCAAACCCTCTTTCTGGAGGATATTTTCAAAATGCATTCTAAACTTAAACATGGAGTTTATCGGGGGAAAACTGTTTGTAAATTTGGTAACTTAAACATCAATTGAGCGGGCGTAATTTAATTGTTTACTATTTATTTATTTATTTATTTATTATGTATACAGTGTTCTGCCTGCATATGTACCTCCATGCCAGAAGAGGGCACCAGATCTCATTACAGATGGTTGTGAGCCACCATGTGGTTGCTGGGTATTGAACTCAGGACCTTTGGAAGAGCAGTCAGTACTCTGAGCCATCTCTCCAGCCCTAACTGTTTACTTTTAAGCAGCTAAAACCAACCAGTGAGGACCCAGGACCTGCCTGGATGCTGTGAAGACATTTCTCTTCGAGGACCTGGCAAGCTTACCTTTTCAGTTGTGAATACAAATAAGTAGTTAACTTAGTAGTTTCTTCAAGTTTCTGTAGCAGCTCTTTTCTTTTCTCTTCTAATTTCAATCTAGAAAAAAAAAAACCCAAAGAAATTAATTTTCAAATGATAATGTAGAAACCAAAACGAAACAACAGAAAAACTCAGTATCCCAGAATCAGGTAAGAGGAGGACATCTGGATAAACTTGATAAAGGGAAAACAGACGAGAGGCAAAGCTTTACAGCCGTGATAAATGAAGCTGGAGACGTATATCCAGTCCCAAAGCCAGGAAAACTAAAAAGTTGACGGTGTGAACTTTTCTCAAGTTGGTAACAAAAGCCTAAACAAAGCCGAGAATCTTAAAGGACTGTAGGTTGGCTCTCGTTTGGAAAACATTAGGTGGCAATAATAAGGAAGTGTAAAAGGCCACTGGAAGTACTGAATTTAGCAAGCGCTGCTGTAAAACAGCACTTCGTCCTGAAAACTGACTTCCTGGGAGGTTTAACAGCAGAGAAAGATTGGTTCAGGATACTGTGGGAGCTAAACCTGCCGTTAGAGTTTCAACAAGTCCAAGAGTGTCGGCGCGCTCCTAGCCCCATCCTGCCTCATCACCTGGAGCAGATTATCATAGTTACAGTACCGGAGAATTTTATCTCGAAACAGCAAATTCGTTTCAACATAGGTCACACATCCAAGGATAAGCCTAGTGCCTACACAAATCGCATCAGCCGAGGGGCCTGATACGTCATCTGAGGAGGGCAGGGCCTGGTGCCCAGTCTGGGATTTGCTGTCTGTGAGCCCAGTATCAAGCCACCAGCTGGAGGGGCTCACCTTTCTGTCTGTGAACACTGATTACAATCCTTCTGTGTCTACCTGATAAGGCAGTTAGAGGGATCAAACGGAGTAAGGCATGGGAAAGTGCTCTACAGACCACAGAACAATCACGTCTCTTCACAGCCCTGCAAGGTGGTGATATACACAATTAGCCACATTGCTTTGGAGAAAAAGAAAATCTCCCCAGTTTCCAACCCTTTGAAATTGTATGCATGTCTTGGGGAGTGAGGAGATGCACTCATTTTATTTATAGGTACCTATCCCTTTGATGTGCCAACCACAGTTTCCGTTATTTGTTACAATTAAAAAGTAATCCTTGCCATTTCCTGGAATACCGGCACGATCAATTCTTTCATAACTTTTATAACTCCATTTTTAAGAAGCGCAGTCTACTTTTTAAAATCTCTCTAACAAATCGCTCACTCAGGAAGAAAAATTAACGTAAAGATGAACTGACCTGGAAGGCACAAAGGTCTGGAGATAGCCCCAAACCCTGCCAAAGCACATGTCGCTGGCAACAGGAGAAATACTCGAGAGATTGGTAATATTTTAAAACTAAATATCACTTTTATTAATACAAAGGCATTTCCTCGTGTCCTAAGGGGCTCTAATGTGACATGTCATGGAGGCTGGTGTCCTCTGTTCTCAAGGCCATGATGATGCTCTAGGGCTGCTGTGCCAACTCCTGCAGGCTGGCTCTCAACTGCCGGTGCTCAGCGTTTGTGCTCATGTGTACTCTCGTGTGTGTGTGTGTGTGTGTGTGTGTGTGTGTGTGTGTGTGTGTGTGCACGTGTGCGTGTGTGTCTGTGTCTGTGAACATCAGAGGTTGATGTGGATGTCTGGTATCTTTTGGAGAACATTTCCTACCTTATTTATTTCTTTTATGTGTATGGCTGGTTTGCCTGTGTGTATGGCTGCACACCCCATGCATGCATTGCCTGTGGAGGTCCGAAGAGGTTGTCAGATCCCCCGGGACTAGAGTTACAGGCAGTTGTGAGCCAATGTGTGGGTGCTAGGAACTGGACCTATGTCCCCTACAAGAACAGCCAGTGGTCTTAACCACTGAGCCGGCTCTCCAGCCCCTACCTTATCTTTTGAGACACTGGAGTCATTGAACCTGGAACTTAGGGATTGGCTAGACTGTCTGCTCAGCTAGTCCCCAGGAGCCAGCCAGCCACCCTTGCACCAGGAATAGACACTTGTAGCCATGCTTGGCTTTTTGATTCTTTTTTTTTTTTTGGTTTTTCAAGATAAGGTTTCTCTGTGTAGCTTTGCGCCTTTCCTGGATCTCGCTCTGTAGACCAGGCTGGCCTCGAACTCACAAAGATCCGCCTGCCTCTGCCTCCGGAGTGCTGGGATTAAAGGCATGCACCACCACCGCCCGGCTGGCTTTTTGATTCTTTAAATGCAGGTCTATGGGTCCAAAGTCAGGTCCTCGTGCATACAAAACAGACACTTTACTGACTTAGTCATCTCCTCAGGCCCCTACGTGGGTGTTCTTCATGTGCTCTCCCAAACGACACTAAGGTCTCAGAAGGCGGGCACTGGCTCTCCCTCTCTCCTCTATACAAACTTCTTGCTGGTGTCACTAGAAGGGTGATAAAGGAACTGTGAAAAGCCACAGAAATCTCGTAGCGAGGCAGCAGCTTCCGCCCGTCAGTTGAGGGCAGCTCGAGGTGACAAGGTCCTCCACACCCAGGGAATTATGAACATGGTCCTTTTCCTGAGCTTGGCTCTCTAAGCCCCTCCTCAGTCCTGCCCTTCTGGCTTCCTCAGCGAGACAGGGGCTCATAAAGAGCCCCCTGTATCCATCCTGTTTCTCTTCATCGCCCTTCAGGCTGCCCTAGCAACACATCAGGCCATCATCTCTTTCTGTCTCCATCTCAGCACCTGGGGAGAGAGAGACTGCTTCTCCCGAACTCACAGCTTTGCACCCAGGAAAGCATTCACGCCATCGATACAGTGAATCAGTCTCCTTTCCACTGAAAAATAAAAATAAATGGCGCTCACGTGCCCTGCCCATTTGTTTTAAATAATCTTCAGATGCCTTAGCAAAAAAACATATAAGTAAGCCAGGCACATTGATGATTCCCGGGTGAGCCCTTGAATTTGTGTGAAGCAGCAAAGGTCTGTCAGCTACAGGAAGTCACAGCTCATGGAATGCCAATGCTGTGGGTGGGAGTATTAAAGGGGTACAAGAAGGGAGAGCCATTATTTTCTCTTTTGGTCTGATCGACGCAGATAAGCTCTGTTACCACTAGAGGGAGACCTCTGCCACTGCGGCGGGGATCCCTGCTATAGCCAGACCCTGGCAGCAGAAACCCAGGTTGGAAGGATACCTAGGATGACTAACCGGGAATTCATGGGAGTTTAGTGTCTTTGGAGACCAAAGTTTGAGTTCACCCCTGAACTCATGAGAAACCCACAGTAGGATGGGAAAGAGGAAAGTGTAAGGCAAGGCAGCAAGAAGCTTTCTTTGGTTGCGTCGGAACAAAGGGTCTGCTGTTGACAATGAACTCCATGATGAAACTGTGAATTCTCCTTCCTAGGGTGTTGCTGGCCACCACCTGCTCTACCGCTGCGGAGATGTGGCTTACAGAAGCAGGCTCTTACTTACCAAGGTTCAAGGACAGCTGGATCGGAGCAACTAGCAAACACAAGCATATACAGGAGGAAGCGAGGATGAGGGGTAAAGAACAGGACAAGGAGACGGAGTGCGATGGTACAGAAAACACGCATTACCAAGAGCAGCCAGGCCCTGCTGGGCTGCGTCTTCTCGGGGAGCAGAGGACCTGGCGCTCATTGGAGTCCCTCCGCCTCGTACTGCACCATAGTGACCACAGACACCCAAGGCAACTGCTATGCACTTACTGGGTATGCCAAGTGCCTTGACTTCCAGAGGACTCCGAAAACCAGTATATTACACAGACCTATCAGGTCAGTGGCAGACGGGCTGTGCAGGAGAAGTCAGCTAACCACACTGCCTATTCCCCATGTGGCACAAACCCCACGGCTGCTTCTCACTAACTATTATCATTATTTTATGTAAGTACTACATAGCTCCTGCTTCTGCTGAGTCCCAGCCTGCCACTAGAAATCTGACAGTCATGATGTGTGTGCAGACACAGTATAAAAGTCACCCATGAACAAACCATCCCGAATAAAAAAGACAAGCAGGATGCCATGCACCCCTGTAAATGTGGAGAGGATGAAGATGCTCCCTGTCTCCCGGCAACAAAGCTAAAGGAGGACCAGAGGCTACGGAGGAGAAGAGAGACACTTAGCAGGTCAGAGGAACATGAATCCTGAGGAGTCTCCACAACCTGGTCCTATAATCAAAGATTCAACCAACCATGGAAAACCCTGAGTTTGTACCGATCACATATGGACTTGACCTGGTCATGTTCCCTAAGCTACATAGTATTACAACTGTTTCCATAACATTTCCATTGTCAGGATTTCTAAGTAATCTAGAAAGTGTCCAAAGCTTATGACAGGACATGTGTATGTTTTCTGTTAACACTACACACGTTGTACAGGGGAATTATGGCTTGGGTAGAAGGGAGGGGTCCTGAAACCAACCCCTTGGGACAGCAAGGGAACAGTACGTGGTATTTAGTAAGTGTCGTGAAACGTAGAATGCACTGGCATTTTACACGGGGAGCCCACAAAGGCTACCCGCTTCATTACATTCACTAATGAGTCTCTGCTGGAAATTTAAATGATACGAAAGCAGAGAGGGGAACTCACCCTTTTCTTCTCGTCACTCACTCTTGTGCCTGTGAGTGCTTGTGACCGGGGTCCTCCCTCACACCCAAAACTAACCCTCCACCAGCACTAGACAGAGAGAGCAGAGGAAGGTGGGCCAGAAGTGGAAAGGAGGCCACAGGGAGAATTTGGTTGAATACATGCAGTCTGCAGAGGATTTGCCTTGGGATACCTGCTCATGTTCCCTAAAATGAGGATGCTGCGGCCACATGGAGCATCTCCCCCAAATGGTCACACTCAAAACATGCACATGCTAAGACCTAATCAGGAATGGCAGGATTTTCCCTTCCCGCCCCACCGTTCCCATACTTTCAAAATAGTTTAACGTTTAAAACTCAGACATTTACTGAGAAATAGGGATTAGAAGGTAAGAGGCAAAGAATGAAATAAAGAAAGGAAACTGGGCTCTGGACGGGTGTTTGAACTTATATGTGAGACACATGTGGAGTCACTCAGGGCAGGCACGGCTCCTCTTGTGCTGCTGGGCTGTGATGCACACTGGTTCTGAAGGGCCAGTTTGTCGCCAAACAAGCACGCAGTCACAGCAGCCAGCAAGATCTATCTGGGCACGGGGCTCTGCTGCAGGTGTGTTCACACCCACGGGACACATGTGCCCTCCGATTAACACTCCTGCCCATCTGCTTGCGGCCCTGGATGTTTTAGAATAAAGAACTCCCACCTTCCCACAGAAAAGTCAGGAAACTGCTCAGAATGATTGCCTCTGCTTCAGAAGCGGGTTTCAACTGACACGTCACATATAAGGAACATCTTGTGACTGATTAAGATATCAAAGAGAGCAAGCTGTCTTTTCCTTTCCTTTTGAAATTAAAAGCAATAAACACGACTTCTTGTCAGTATTGAAAGCGAGCCTAGGAAGGCTCATTTGCTGTATGAACAGTCTAGATCCTCTTCCTCAGAGGGCAACAGTTTATAGCTATTGTTATCAGACTTGCTCCATGATGTGCTGCATTCCTGATTTTATGTCAACGTTCCTTAGTTACTCGAGGTCTGTCGTGAGCACTTTCACATCCCTAATAGACACAGAGGAACTGCTACTCCGGGGTACAGGAGGGGGAGCTGTATTGCTCTGCGAAAAGGAAATTGTTTCGCGCTGTTTCTGAGTCCACTAACAGCAGAAGTTGCTTAAGATATCCAGACCTAGATATGTCACCATAAGACATAAGCACAGGTTCAAGTCACCCTGTTCCCAGAAAAAAACCAAACCAAACCAGACCTCTCGGCCAGAGCCCTGCTCGGCACGCCCCGCGTGGACATCAGCTCCTCCTCCAGCCGCTGGCGCTCGGCTTCCAGGCGTTCCAGCTCGTCCTGCGTGCGTCTCTGTGGGGTGATGAACTGCAGCTCTTTCAAGAGCTCTTCCTTTTCATTAATCAGCATCAGCTTCTCCTTCTCGATGTCCAGGGCCCCGGGCCAGGCCTCGCTGTCCAACTTTGACAGTTCAATTTTCAAGTTAGCCATGCTAAAAGACACAGAAGGCACACGCGTTTAGGCCTCCCAGGAAATGGGAATCCAAGTCCAGGCTACGTCTGGGTGCAACTGCAATCTACATCTTCCCAGAGAGCAAGCCACACACTCCAGGTCACGTGAACAGAAGCATCTAAAGTAGGGTACCACAGGCAGGTATCCCCGATGTGTGTGGGGTAACGGGAAGGCTAGTCAGGGTGCCCCAAAATGCCACCATTGTAGTTAGAGTCCTCTGGGTAAAGCTTCCATCCCCCCAGTCAAATGATACTTCCAGAGCTGGGTAGAAACTGAGGCAGTAGCAGATTACAGAAGGAAGAGATGAGAAAGGAGAGGAACCTTGGTCAACTCATATTAAGGCAAAATCAATTCATTAAGGTTTCACATCACCAAGGACAATGGGCAGGGCCTTGCCTCCTCCCACCCCACTTTTCTCAAACCTCACACTGGGAAATCTCCCCTCCACTGGGGCCTTTGCAGGGTAAGCATTAATTATTGAGTAATCTTGTACCATCGCAGGCGCTACTGCTTCTGACCTATGCTCCTATCTGGTTATGTGGCTGCACTGGAGCAGGCACGGTGGACCTTAACCAGCAAAGCAAAGGTGGCTGGTGTGGCAACCACAGAGACACGGGTGAAGAAGAGGGAAAAGTAGCTCGCTCGGTAAAGCCTCAGGTGTCACGGTTTTGCCTGACCGGGGACTTCCCTCTGTCTAGAGTCCAGGTATAGATGGTCAAATCTACAGAACTCCCAATTCGGCACAAACGTCCGGTCTCCTGGATGAAATGACTTGCCCAGCAGCACTGTGAGGACAATCAGGACTTCCCACAAGATGAAAGCAGATGGCGCAAGACCCAGATAAACTATGGGCAAACTGGTACTGACACAGGGAACCCATATCCTGGCATGCACCGGTGGATGGCTGCTTTGGCTACTGCGGCAGCACATACCACATAAGAAAGAGTCAGCAAAAGGGCTGCGTCTCTCCTATTTCAAAGGAAGAAACTATTATGAAAAAACAGCTCAGAACAAGGATGTGAATGAAGTAGGTCTACACCCTGTGCTTAAGTTTCTTACTGTGGTTTTTTAAAAAGCAAAAGCTATCTCAGATTGACACACACCAGCGTGCTGCTTTTCCTCCTCCTGTCTGGACTTACGAGAGAGAGAACATCAGCTATTCTTCAGCTTTAACTACAAAACAATCAATAACTGTCTCCACACACTGGAAAATTAATCATCAAATTGCTAAATAAGCATATTATTAGCTTCGTTGAGCATATAAAACAAAAACAGGTTAAGGGAAGAATAACTCACCCCTTGTTCCCTCGTTAAGAATTGAGGAGGAAAATGCATTTTCAACATATGCAAAATCCCCTGAGAGTCACCTTGAACCTAAAACCAAGCCCAAATAACACACCAGGGCAGCCAGATGGCAAAGAGGCAGGAGTCTAAGTTTTGATGTGACCAAAGTAGCCAGCTGAGCTGGGGGTAGCAGCAGATACAGGGAAGAGGTATCCGTTTATTACTTTAGGGCACACGAGTAGACATTGGATTTTGTTTTGGAATGGGCACTCAGATCTGGCAGGTAGAATGGGGAGGGACTTCCAGGAACTAGGAAGGGAAATGTCACCTAAGCTCTAGAGGTAACTAACTGTCACAGTTGGTCACTATCGAGGGAAAGCTCAAGGTGACCCAAAGGCAGCAAGGTGAAGTTGGTGAGAAGCCCTGTTGTGAGCCCTGGTCCTCTTTAACTCTGAGTTACGGTCATTAGCCTGCAGGAAACCAGGCATGAATCTTGGGCTTTGTCCACGGCAGAACCAAGAAGTTCTGGCTGTTACAGGGTTGGATTGCTTGCAGCAAGAGGACCCTGGAACAATCCACCCAGGAAGTCACATCACTGGGCACACCAAAGATCAACCCTTAAAACCTACTGAAGGCAAGCTCCAGTTCTGTTCCTGGAAAGGAGGTAACATAATTTAAAAAGCTTTCCTACCCCCAAGACATTTAAAATCTATTGGGGGAAGTGAAAGACATTAAAATGAGCTGAGTTAAATGTTGCTGAGAACGACCAACGGACTTACTCACAGTCATCTGGTTAATCATTGGTGGAATGAAGCTTACGTTTCTCTTCAGTAAATTGAAGACTCAAGTACTATTTGAACACTGGCTAACACACAGGAAAACATTGTAGTAATATCCACCTCACTTTGTTATAGCCAGATAATCTCTAAGACCTACGGTCAATTACTTTAAAATCTGATCGTCTCTAGCAATAATGGATACATTTGAATGTCCGAGGGTCCTCCTTATGGTAGGAGCCACAACACTCTGGGAGGGCCTCATGGTCTGAGAGGGAACAAGACAAATTTCTTGGTCTCCTGTATGCTGACAATACAGTTTCTCTTAATGTCTCCTAAATAATGTGAAACAACGGCATTTTTAAGCTCTTAAAAGAAAAAAAATGAAATTGATAGTATCAGAATGGCCATCACCCTCAGAATGAGGTGTGATACAATAAGGAAGTAATTTGAGTATCCACCTGCTATATTAGGACCATGTGGTCTCTTGTGCTGTACCCAGGAATTAAAAAGAGGTGAACACCAGAGCTTCTAAGGTAACGGAGAGATCCTTTCCTCCTTCCCTGACCTGTCATAGAAGAGACACACAGCACCTTCTAGGTAGCAGTAGGGAGCCTTCGGGACAAAAGGCCACTCAGAGGTAAGTCCCCAGCAAAGGTGTAAGGCTGGCCCACTGCATGGGGTTTCAGGCTAGGAAGCAACCATCTCACTTTCAACTGGATGTATTATACAAGCTCAAAAGTTTTTTCCACAGAAGGGAAGGGGAAACTTTTATCCCCATACTTCTCATTAAAGTCTCCCTATAGTGGTCCGTGCCTTTAATCCCAGCACCTGGAAGGCAGAGGCAGGCAGATCTCTGTGAGTATGAGGCCAGCCTGGTCTACAGAGCGAGTTCCAGGACAGTCAGTGTTACATGGAGCAACACTGTCTCAAAAGACCAATAAACAAATAAAATAAAATTCTCTTCATTTTTCAGCTTTGAAGGGAGGAGAGAGAGCTGGAAGATGGGAAGTAACCTTTGCAGGTCAGAGCAGCAAGGTCAGGCTTGGGGAGAACTGGGGGGTGAGGGTGGGAGGGGGGGCACATGAGTCACCACAACAGCAAATATTAATTCGGAGAAAGAGACCATCCTTGGAACCCATCGACCACAGCCAGACAGCCCCGGCCCTCACCTTCTCTTGGCGTCTTCATACTGGAGACTCAGCCTGACCTTTTCAGCTAAATTTGATCTGCTCCGTACCCCAATCTAGTAAAAACAGAAGGAAAAAAGTCAATTAACTCTGCTAATGAATGAAGTAAACTGCTTTTGTTTCTGGGAAGCCCAAGTAATTGAAAAGCTGGAGAAAATGGCTGTGAAATGGGGAAGCGTCCGTTAAAAGGACTTACTCAGCAGGGGGAAGGCGTCTTTCATCCCAGCTCATCTGTTTGCCCAAGACTTTAACACCACTTTCCCCACAGATTCAATCCAAGACAAAAATATCAGGGAAATGGGTCTGGTATCTGAGAGTTCATGAAGGGTATATAGGTCAATGAAATTTATGAAATGGAACTGATTTCTTTGCCAAAATTTCCATTATTTAACTCATAACTACACGAAATGTAAATGAAGTCACCTCAGGAATTAATTTTTCAAACAGGTAAGACCTACTGTCAGCGTGCATCTGCTCCCTTTTCACAGCACACGCACCTAAGAGGCATAAATCTAACCGGGACCTAACAAAACTAAATACTTGGGATGGCTTCTCTCGAGGGAGGGGGGAAATAGTGATATACAGGTCACAGGAAACAGTTTCAAACATAAGCTATAATTCACAAATACTCAACTTCAAATTTATAAAAACAATTTCTTTTTCACAAACAAAACCAAAAACTCATGCACATGCGTGTGTGTGTGTGTGTGTGTGTGTGTGTGTGTGTGTGTGTGTGTGTGTGTGTGTCTGTGTGTGTGTGTGTGTCTGTGTGTGTCTGTGTGTCTGTGTGAGTATGCTGTGAGTGGGTGTCCGGGGCAGCCAGGTCTGGCTGTCAGATCTCCTCGAGCTGGAGTCATAGATTGTGACTGGGAGGCTCTGGCAGAGCAAGAGACACTCTTGAAGGCTGAGCCATCCTCCAGTCCCTTCGTGTTAGCTTTAAGAAGCACTTTCCTGCCGGGCGGTGGTGGCACATGCCTTTAATCCCAGCACTCGGGAGGCAGAGCCAGGCGGATCTCTGTGAGTTCGAGGCCAACCTGGGCTACCAAGTGAGTTCCAGGAGAGGCACAAAGCTACACAGAGAAACCCTGTCTCGAAAAACCAAAAAAAAAAAAAAAAAAAAAAGAAGCACTTTCCTGTTCCTTATGCCCTTTGAATGTTCATGTGAAGTGACTCTAATTCACAAGGCTGTAAACTGAGTCAGGGAGAAGTTAAACTGGGTTGTAGTCTAGCTTTTCAGTAGCATCCATAAAGAAATGCAGCCAGAGAAAGTTCCTACTGTGTGCCCTTGGCACTTTGACAGAAAAGACGAGGCTGTGGTTTTTCAAATGAATCTGGAGGATGAGATACCGAATGATTACTCTCCAGCTCCTGTTCCAGTCCCCCGACCCCCATCCCCTGTCACCACCAACCCCACACCCCCCTCCCCCTGCACTCCTACCCTCCCTCACCACACCACCCCTGCGGAGGACAGTACTGGGGCAGCAGATGCCTTCTGGCTACTTACATCTCCAGAAATGCTTGTCTGTGACCCAGCATCAAGGGTCTGTCTGGACAGGGAGAGGTGAGAGTTCCCAGGACTAGATCTCAGGTCTGGCTCGGAACTGTCCATGTTCTGATCCAAATGAAAGCGCTCCTGCAGCTTAGCAAGACTCTGCCAAGAAACACACAGCACCTCCTAAGACTAATGCACAGGAGGGCGGTCCCTTTCCATAGCATCACGAAATGGAAGGAGCCGTGCCGATGAAAACCATGACGTTATCTGTATATTTTGCACAAGTCTGTGATTCTAGAAGTGTGTGAGAGCATATTCAGCAGGTGGCCTCCCTTCTCCTGTGGACACTAGGATCTAGCTTTGTATTGATTTAGTATATGTGTATTTTGTATGTGTCTCTGCATGTGAGAGCCACATGTGTGCAGGCGCCCATGGAGGACACAAGAGGGTGTCCGATCTGGAGCGGGGCTTACAGGCAGTTGGGGACCACCTGACAGAAGAGGGTGTCTGATCTGGAACTGGGTTATAGGAAGTTGGGGACCACCCAACAGAAGAGGGTGTCCGATCTGGAGCGGGGGTTACAGGCAGTTGGGGACCACCTGACAGAAGAGGGTGTCTGATCTGGAACTGGGTTATAGGAAGTTGGGGACCACCCAACAGAAGAGGGTGTCCGATCTGGAGCGGGGGTTACAGGCAGTTGGGGACCCCCTGGGATGGTGCTGGAGATGGAGCTCAGGTCCTCTGCAAGAGCGGCAAGAATTCAATCACTGAGTCGTCTCTCCAGTCTTTAGCCTTGACTCTATAGTATGTGCAATTCTTACTTTTAAGCAATTTATTAAGCCAACTTTCTTCCAATGGGAATCTGCTGTAGTTTGAATATGGGGTATGCATTCCCTAAAAGCTGGTGTGGAAGATTCTCAGTGTAACAATGCTTAGAAGTAGCAGAGCCTGTAAGAGGAGGGTCAATACAATGGTACTATAGTTATGAAAAGACCCTGCTTCATTCCCAAGAAAGCACGTTGTTATAAAAGTGCAGGTTTAGTCTCCGAGTGGCTCTGGCTTCCTGTCTTGCCATCCATCTCTTTAAGGGGCAGCCTGTCACTGCGACACCAGCCACAGGAGGACTTTGCTACAGACTGACAAACGGGGCCAGTCTTGGGCTTTCAGCCTCTGACACTGAGTTAAACAAGACTCTTTCCCTGACTTAGGCCTTCTACTACAGCAGCAGAGAGCAGAACGCTACAGAACTGCTCACTTAACAGAAATGATGGACCCATGGACTATTTATAATGCGATCTCTCACTTTAGATCTAGAGTAAAGATTACCATTCACAACTTCACACCTAGGCAAGACCCAATACTCAGTTTACATTAATACTTGTGGTGGTTTGAAAGAAAATGGCCCCCAAAGGGAGTGGCACCATTAGGAGACGTGTCCTTGTTGGAGTAGGTGCGGTCTTGTTGGAGGAAGTGTGTCACTGTGGAGGTGGGCTCTGAGGTCTCATGTATGCTCAAGATACCACCCAGTGTCTCAGACCACTTGCTGTTGCCTTCCTATCAAGATACAGGACTCAGCTCCAGCACCATGCCTGCCTGCATACTGCCGTGCTGAACCATGATGATAATGGACTGAACCTCTGAAAATAGAACCACCGCAAATAAATGTTTTCCTTTCTAAGAGTTGCCATGGTCATGGTGTCTCTTCACAGCAGTAGAAACCCTAACTAAGACAAAACTATAGATTAGGAAACTGAGACCCAGAAGCTGTCACGGGATAGACCTGGCCTCCTTTGAGTCCATCGACCTGAGCCTGCACGGCGCTGCCTGTGGCGGTGATACCTGGTTTAGGAAAGTGGGTAATCAAAAGCGAACGTGCCTTTGCCTTTTGAGAATCCTATAGCAGCACTAAGTAAAGAACAAACAACACACCCCTATGACTGGTAACCGAAGGGCCGGATTTAACCTGGTGTTCAGAATTTCCATGCTAAGAGAACAGCTGTGAGAGGCTATGAACCTGGTGTGCACATCTGCAGCCCTGGCTACGGCAAGGAGGAGGGGAGGGTCCAGTCCTACCTGGGTGATAGGAGGTCGTCATGTTAGAGGAAGGGAGGCAGGGAGGGGCCGGGGAGGGGGCGGGGAGGGAAGGAAGGAAGGATATACCAGACATGTAATATTTAATTTTCACCTTTCACAGGAACAGACATACACTATATGCACACATATGTGCCTGTAATACAACTCACACAGACACATCAAGTTATGTATTGTAGAAAGGAGCAAAGGAACATTTCAGTGAATGCGAGCAAGTCTTTTCTATTTTTCTCTCTGTAAATGGAAAGATGAGTCATTTTTTTTTCTTAGCTGTGATGATGACATAGTTAACCAGTTTGGTAGCTTGTGACTAATACGTTTCAATGAAATGGAAGATACTGTAAAATAAAGTGAGAGCATATTATCAGCACGAAGAGAAGGAATATTGCTGTGGAATTGGTTCTGAGTGGCTGTGTGCTTATCTTTAGGTGTACATAATTGTGTTATTGGGTTTTTATGTAAAATATTTGTTACTGTGCTCAAATAGGTTTGAAAGTCATAGCCAATATCTGATTTCCCTTCTAGTTCTATTGTTGAGCTCAGCAACTACTAATTAATTATTCCTTGTACTTTCGTAGCTAAAAGAATTCACTCTGACCTGTGGATGGGACCAAAGTTTACAGAAGAATCAAAAGGGATCCTAACCTGACCAATCACAGGCTCCAATGCAGAAGTGTTCCAGGTTCCAATGACAGAACTACTATGCGACTTCAGAAGTCACCAATTTAATTAGCAGGACAATTGTGGGACAATGGTAAAATATGTGGGTAAAGTTCTGCATGTGTTATACACGTGCTTAAGGCTAGCTAAGCTGGTACCTCTATCTTATGCTTACTGGCTCTGTGAGCTTTAGTAACGTATTGGGTTGCCTAGGCTATAACTCATCTAAAAAGAGGGCCATACTAACTACCTCAACATCAGCAAGGATTAAGGGAACTACATGTGAGTGAGCAGGGCCCTCGGGAGGCAACTTGGCACAAGCCACAGTTCCAAGGATCTGCCTTTATCACTAGTGTCTTTTCCATCAGATCACTTCTTGCAAGTTATTTTAAAATCCCCCAAATGAAAGATCCCATGGACATGAGACTACCGTGTTCAGCTAACATCTGGAAACCAACATGCTGAATGTCACATTTAAATGGGGAGGTTTGGTTAAGCACCCAAGTATCATTGCTGGCTCCAACACTAGTCAAAGACCCAGACTGAAGCCTGACTAGATGGTGATGAACTCCTAATCCCCTCCCCGCTTTTAATTATGAGGTAGAGGAAAAGGGACAGAAGGAGATGTCTCAAGACGATCCATGGCCCTGATGGGTGCAGATATTCAGAATGCTCATTATCCAGCTGCTGTTTTGGTTTTCCTCTGTACGAGGATGGACCTGAGGAGTTAAGATCTGTAGGCTGAAAACTGTACAGTGAGAACAAAGAGATCAACTAGCAGCTTTCCTGGAGGTAACTATGGCTGTCCCCTGGCTGGGTCAACCTCCTCCAGCCCAAGAGATATACCCACTTCCTGCTGATGACGGTGACACACTCCCATGTACCCTGGGTAAGGGTCGCTGGTAGGGGGAAGTCTGATAATCTAGGTCCCACATGAAGTTTCCAAGGGGCTTAGGGGTGTGCCAAAATGTTAAGCTCTCCATCTGGATTCCAGGTTCCATCTCCCCCGACTCCACTCAGTCTAAAAGGACATCTGAGTCCTGCCTTCACAAGGGACACCACAAGCTGAGAACCAACTCATTCTGCGTGTGTTCCTCAGAGTCTGTAACCATCCACGGTGGGCATGATCAGTATGAGTAGGGAGAGCTTCCCGGGCCCCCAGCAGATGGACACAGAAGCCCCACGACATACCTGCATCAGATCTTGCTTTTCTTTCTCTCCTGAGCTGATGGCTTTTCTGATGGACTTCAGTTCCGTCAGGATGGCTTTGGCTTCACTGAGTTCATACCCGCTCTGGCCTCCAGACATCTTTTCATCAATTCTATTAAAAGAGGAGGAGACGAAGGAAAAGAAATTTAAATAAACAAATAAATAAATAAGTGCAGAGGAGCCGCTGGTTTCGGGGTCCCTTCCTCGGCAGATGACTTTGCATCATTGCTCTCCCAGGACCCCACATGGACTGAGTGCCTCTCCCTTCTCCTCAGGTTAGACGTCTCCACCCACTACATCCTATCTTACCCCTTCCCAACCACTTTCAGGCACAAACCCATGTTCGGCTGCTCCTGATGCTGGCTGAAGCCAGTCTTCACCACACTCAGCCTTGTCTGTAAGCCAAGAGAGAGCGCTGGCAGAGGCCAACACTGCTGATGCAGCCGCAGACGCTGAAGTTCACAGCCGTGACGCCCCAGCAACACCTGGCAGAGTGTGGGCAGCACGGGCAGCGTGGCGAGTCTTTAGTAAGTGCCTGACAAACGCTTATCTGTGCTAGAGAATCGCTTATGATATTTGGATTATGTGGCTTCTTCTGTCAAATATCTAAAAGGTACTTATTAAAGCTATGAACTGAGATGAAATTTCTTGCCTTGCTGAATGAATTCGAATTTAGGAAGAAGACAGATGGCAGATGTGCCCCTCTGCCAGTGTGTATTGAGTAAACAGCTCTTCAGTGGGTCAATCTGTCCCGGGTCCCCACGGATGTACTTATTTTACATCATTATTACTGTAGGTAGTGGACTTGGAGACTCGTTGTTTTTGAAGGACTCAATCAAATTTTCTACTTTTTTAAAGAAAACTGTTGGGTCTTCTGTCCATGATCAGCACCCTGTTCTCTTCAGTTATGGTCCCTCCAGGGTTCCTTATGGCTACGACTTGGGTTTTACTTACAGATGATGCCTCTGCCCCACCAGCCTTCAGCTCCACACAGTTTCTCAGACCAGCTTTAGGACTTATCTACAGACCCTCCAGAGAAATGGCAGACACTAAATCAGAGGAAATGGACTCAGAGCTCATCTGGTTTAAGCCATTTAATAATTAATACGCACTTTCAATGTGAAAGGTGCATCTGAATAGAACACAATGCCATCTTAATCACGATGCCAAACAAAGTTAACTCAAACAAGTACAGCGTGTAGATAATGCATCTCCCCAAGTACTATTTTAGTGAATATTTTATGCTACTGAATAAGCAATTAAGCCTTTAAAAGCCTAGCAAAATAAACTTGATTATAAGTCATTTGATAACTAAGTACAGGCAATAGGGTCACAGAATTACTTGCACGCACACACACACACACACACACACACACACACACACACACACACACACACAGCGTTTAGGGTAGGAAGGGGCCTTGGGGGTCCCGTTGTTTTTCTAAATGAAGAACTGGGACCAAGCTTATGCAAATTTAACTCTTCAACCACATAAAACAGCAAGTAGGGTGGCTATCCCAAAGTTCCAGACCCTGGCTGAGGAATCTTATGACCACTAATCTAGAATGTTTCATGAAAACACATCGTGAATATTGCTCCGGTTCACTTCTCTGGGAAGGGAATCCATGGATGCAACCTCCGGCTCCTCGAAGAACTATATCCACCAGCTTACTACAGGTGAAGGCTCACTCACTAAAGAAATGCCACTTCCGACGGCTGTCTTAGCATTTTCAAGCACGGCACTTATAAATGAAAAGCGAGCCAACAAACACCGGAATTTCACAAAGAAGCTTACATGAAACAGAAACTGTGTCAAAGGGAATCTCCAAAGCCCGATGATTTCTCCCCCCGTGTGAAAACCCTCAGCATGCAAGGGTAAAACATGCCCTTCATGCAGAAACACACTGTGCCAGGCTAGAATGCAGCTCACACTTCACAGAGTTGTACATTCTGATGGCGATTTCTCGACTACCTTCCTGTGTTCGGGGCCCTCCATCAGGCCTCCCTGCTTTACCCAAATGTTCATTTCCATGTTTGGTTCCATGCTTTCACTTTCTCCACCTTTCACTTCCCGCTTCCCTGCCTCTTTCGACCTGACTATAAAAATATGATGTGGTTTGGTGGCTTACTCACTTCCGGGTGGCTCTCGTCAGAATGCCATAGGCTTAACCACCTTCTACTCTTAAAATGAAGAGCCACGCGGTTAGTTTTCTGTGTTTGAATGAAAAGAAGCTTTATTTTTCTCTAATTTTTTTTTTTAAACTTTAAAACGTTTACTCTATATCTGAAAGAGATTTTCACCTGCACATCTGGAAAATGTGCCTGGGAGCCAGAGTTTCGTGGGAACCATACCTGCTTTGGATTTGCTAAGTACGGCTATCACTTCCCACCTGGGGAGGCAGCAGAGGGGTGTTCCTGGTATCCTCCCAGACACAGGCCACACCACTGTTAGGCCGCAGTCAAATTTGAGGGCATAAACCGAAGGAACAGACAGAAAGGTATTTGTTCACCCAGCATAAAACTGTTGTGCCAAGTAAAATGAAATCTCAAGGATAAATCACATCATAATTCAAGATTCAGCAAAAATATCCCTGTCTATGGTGAAGAAGTGAAATGTTCCAGGAACCTGTCACAGCCACAGCAAAGAAACAGTCTTCCATGGAGTTAGCCATGAGGTTTGTTTTTAAAGTCTGGTCTCTGGTCCCAGCAGCTATCTATCGGTCAGTGTTTTAGTGGGAGGGGACAAGAGCGGAGGAAAAGGCTTTGCTCTGTCTACACCTAAGAGCAACAGGAGCGGTCTCTGTCCTTAGATAGTGAATCTTTCTGTTCTCGGTTCATTCCGAGAGGAAGCCGGATTTCTACACAGATGTCCGCTGTTTTCCCACGGAATGTCACTGACACAGTCTTAGACATGCCTTAGATTCCCGTGAAAAGGGTTTGCAAGCAAACTGCTTTGAGACAATAGAGTACTGTCACATCAACACAACAAAAAACATCAAGTTTGGCTAACCTTTAACCTGGGGTGGTGACACGGCTTACCATTTCATGTGTCTTAAAATGCCTACCATATGGCTAAAAATTTTATGGCACTCTTTAAAAGTGTGTCTGATCCCCTCTTGCCCACAAAGCCCTGCTTTATGCTGATACACAATTACTAAATAACACATCTAGGTCATTCTAGCCTGCAGCCAGCTGAGGTCGCTGCAAGTCTAAACTGGAGACTTCCTGAGAGACCATCAAATACTCCTGGCAATGGAGCCCTAGAGCAGGTATCTTCAGACATCCTCAGGTATCAGTCAGGTTTGAGAAGCACTCGGGTGAATGGACCTACAAGGGTGTCAGTGCCCCGAATCTATGAGGCAAGACGACTGAATCATAACAACAAACGTCTGAGAAAACAGTCATGTGTCTGACGGCCGGGCAAGAGTAGGTGGGTGGGCATCACAAGATACAAGTCACCACTCAGCACAAAGAACAATCAGCTCATGTCAGGCCAGCGACATTCATGAGCCTTAATGGGGGTAATGCCTTGGATGGCACCAGATTTCCTAAGAACAGAAGGCAGACCAGGATTTCATAGGCAAAAGGAACGGAGCCGGGTACTTCCCAGAGAGGTGGTTCCCGTGTTAGCCTGGCATTGCTAACACTCTGCTGAGGAAGCTGCTGGGAAGAACGTGAAACCTATCCGAACATGAACCTGGCCAGGAAAATCCCTAGAACACTGCCCCGTAGCTGATGGCACCCAGCCCTGCCCAGGCAGAAGAACACACAAAGCGCCTGAATGCTGGTACAGGACAGCTTTGGCGCTCTCTGTGGTCATACGGTTATGAAAAGCACAGGCTTCTTCCTCTCCAGGAGATATCGGTGCACTGGGGACTGTGGGAGACAATGTCTCAGATGAGCACAGCACCGTCTGGTCAGCATTAGCCCCATCAGTAGAGAACAGGGGCTTCTATAGGCTGGGAACGGCGGCGGCGTGGGTTCTCCCAGAACTGGCCACTTTTTCTTATCTACGTTTCCCCTTAATCTGGCCCATCTTAACTCTACCCCAGGGGCCGGCCAGCATTTAGAACCAGAGTGCAGCAAAAAAAAAAAAAAAAAAAAAAAAAAAAACCAGAGGGAATGTGGCAAATGAGGAGCGGCAGGCTCCTCTACAGAAACTAACTTGCCCTGACTCTCTAGAGATGGGTCAAGCTGGACTCCACATGGTCTCCGGGACAGACCGAAAGGTGGACAGAGTCCCAGGGAGAGCTCAGAGCGTCTCCTGTCCAGTCCACCCAGTCCAGCCATCAAGGCAGACCCATACCACAATCTGAGGCCGGCAGTGGTCCAGGACACCAAGTGAAAATTTTCACTTTGGTTTCTTGGGCTCATCTTCAATGATTAAGAAAAAGTTGAGACCTTTTCAAAGTGTATAGATTTTTTTTTCCCAGTATTTTTTTAAGTTGATTGCTTTTGGACTTTTGGCACACAGCTTTAAGCCTTTTACTTTCTATGTTTCTTTGAGAAGTCTCTTATGTAATTGGTATATCTATTTTTTTTTTATTAGGGAGCTTTGAATTGCTGTAAAGTCAATTTTAGTATTTTAATACTCACTGTTGTAGTGTTTCAAAGCCTTGCTCTTTATAGAGAAGTTCTTGCTTCATCTGGGAGAGTTCTCTCTTCAGCTTTTTAACCTTTCATGAGAAATCAGTGTGACCATTAGTGTTTATATAAATAATTAGTAACAGCACATTATTTCAGAAGATCATACATGAATAAGCTAAGAAACATTTTACTACTTCTCCATCACATAAATTCTAGGGGAGGTCTATGAGTTTATTAAATTTATATTTAAATTATCAGTGATGTCACCGTCACGTAGTTACCATTGTGAAGAGCTGGACACCATCCCGCTCTTTGCTTTGTGGCCCAGCCAGTCAGGGTCACATTAGAACCTGTAACCATGCATCTCTAACCTACCCTGGACTTCTTCCCTTCCTTCACTGGGCTCCGGTTGGCCAGGCACGCCCTGGTTTCTCACATGTGCCCACTGACACACGCCTCAGGGGTTATCCCTTTGCCCGAGGCTCTGCCCAAGCCTCTCAAGGCTGACTCCTCCCACGTGTCTCTTTGAGTTAGTTCCCACGTCACCTTCTCTATTCATTTTCTTCATCCTGAAAGTACTTATTGACTTTCCACTATGGCCCGGTGTGGGCCTGAAGCATGGACAGACAGACACAACCTCCTACTCCTCCCACCCTCGTGGTCCTTACTGAATCCCAGAGTCGGGTACTGTAGAAATACAGTCACCCGGTGAAACGAACCTTTCCAGACATTGGAGGTTCTGTGCAGGAAGGTTCAGTGTATCATGAAATATAAGGTGTGTGTGGGGCCCAAGTCAGTGTGAGGGACTGGACCGAGGCCGTCTGAGGTGTGAAGTGGGGGAGTGAGAGAGCACTCACTTGGTAGGAAGGGAAGAGTCTCAGAGTAGGACAAGCGCCCAAATCCTACAGCCAGGGAGGACTTCACTCTCGGGACCTTCACTCTTGTGACCCTCCTGTGGCTGGGTCACAAAGGAAGAGGACGCTTGGGGCTACAAAGGAAGGTCTGAGATAGTCTTGGAGCCATGTTGAAGATGAATAAGACGCAAAGAGCACTGAGAATTGTCTTGGTTAGGTTTCTGTCCACTCCCAGATGGCTTCCCACAAGTCATGTTCTTGATTAATGACTGACATGGGAGGGTCAGTGCCACCCGTGGGAAGGTAGTCCTAGGTGGTAGGAGAAATCGGGCTGAGCGAGCCGGGATGAGTGGGGAGAGCAGGACAGGAAGAAGCTGTCTTCCTCTATGGTCTCTGCTTCAGTTCTTGCCTGGGATTCCCTGCCCTGACTTCCTTCAGCGATGGACTGTGAAATGGAAGTGTAAGGCAAAGAAGTCCTTTCTCCCCCGAGTTGCTTTTGGTTATTGTGTTTTATCACCCCAATAGGAAGCACATTAAATAACACAAGAATCAGGGAGGGATTTGAAAGCAAGACCTGCTTTATGAGTTTAAAGGACACTTTGGGGGCTGTATGGTAGGTGCTTCAGAGTAGAGCTCAGAAGAGGCAGAAATCCAGGGGACTGAGTGACAGACTCAGTGTCCTGGTGAGGGAGACAGGTAGCAAAGACCCCTTTCAAGTACCCGGCCTGGCACCCAGGGGGGACGAAAGGACGAAACCTGGGGAAACTTGATGGTCAAGTGGAACATAAGGACTCGACGTTCAGAAAAGCATCTAGATGAGAGAAAGCAGACAGACCCTCGGAGACGTCTGAGAATATATGAGATCACCCCGACAGCAAAAGCCTCAGATGCCTTCATGATCCAGAAATCCCAGAGAAAAGACAAAATAAACTGGAAGAGTGTCAGGCAGAGTAGTAGGAGGGAGAGCACGGTGGTGTGAGAGACAGGCCAGAGAAAAAGGAGGAGCTGTGGAAGTCACGTCTGTGTGGAAAAGCAGAGTACCTGGACTAAAGTAGCTGTCCAGTATTTGATGTATTGGAGTTCCATCTGACGATTCACTTTGTGTCCACTTCTATTTTACCAGGGAAAATAATACAAGTGATTATATGTCAAGGCTCAATTTGTAACTTCAAAGAGAAGTGAGGCCGGTGCTATTAGAAACCAGAGAAGAGGGAGCTGACTTGGGTGAGGGCTGCCTGGTGGAGATGGAGGGGGCTGGACTGGGGTGGGAGACGCAGAAGAGTCGGAAAGTCATTCACTATTAGCATGTCAAATGAACCACGGGTAATCAATAGCTCATTCCCTGTGTACTTGTGGAGCCGACAGCATTTTCCGTACTTTTTGTTAAAAAGACAATAACCCTTCTATTTAAAACAAAAAAGGAAGTTTATCAAAAAGTCAATAGCAACTCCGAGAGATGGGCTGAAACCCTTTACCTTTGAAAAGAGAGTCGGTAAGAACTGTTATTGAGACCATGTAGAACTGCTAAATTAAACCAATCAGTATCTCCCACTGACAAAAAGTAGTATTGTACTTAGAATCATTTGGGATAGAATGGCAGGTCAATTTAAATGTTTCAAATATTCCATATCTCAGGGATATCAGCACTCCTCACATTCACTGCAGTAACACTCAGGAGGTGAAAACACTAAATGTCCAACAACAAATAAAAAGAGGAAACATCTAGACACCCACAATATGAAACAGTATTCAGGCTCACAAAGAAGTCAGAAGATTCTGCAATATATATGTGTTAACATGGATGGGCCTTGAGGACTTTGCATTAAAAGAAGCCACCCAAAGAAGAATAAATAGTACACGATTCTACTTAGGTGAAGTACTCAAATTAGTCAGCCTCACAGGAGGGAGAGCAGCTTCCAGGGGGCAGAGGGAGGGCCCAGGGAGCTGCTGCTCAAAGGCTGATACATTTCCACTTATACTGTGCACAGGGCACCACATCAACATTTCAGCACTGCACACTCAACACCTGTTAGAGCTCATGCTAAATGTTCCTATCACACGTAATAAAAACTGAAATTTTGCCGGGCGGTGGTGGCGCACGCCTTTAATCCCAGCACTTGGGAGGCAGAGCCAGGCAGATCTCTGTGAGTTCAAGGCCAGCCTGGGCTACCAGGTGAGTTCCAGGAGAGGCGCAAAGCTACACAGAGAAACCCTGTCTCGAAAAACCAAAAAAAAAAAAAAAAAAAAAAACCTGAAATTTAAAAAATCTAAAAGTAACCTCTGACCCCTGGATGTTATTGTGCACTGGATGACAGCGACAGAGGACGCCAACCTGAGCTGTCTTTATGTTCACATTGTTTAGCTTTCCTAACATCCAATGTAAGCACAAACCTTCCTATTGTAGGGAGTCTGGTACACTACCTGAATGATTCTCATTTCCCAAATATCAATTTCAAAATAAAATGGGTTATTTCTTTTTTTTTTTTCTTTTTTTTTTTTTTTTTGGTTTTTCGAGACAGGGTTTCTCTGTGTAGCTTTGCGCCTTTTCTGGAACTCACTTGGTAGCCCAGGCTGGCCTCGAACTCACAGAGATCCGCCTGGCTCTGCCTCCCAAGTGCTGGGATTAAAGGCGTGCGCCACCACCGCCCGGCGGGTTATTTCTTAATAATGAAACAATTCACTCCCATTATAACGACAAACGAGAATACAACTGATTTCCAGGCAGACATTCTTTCTAATTCTTCTTTGGTTTTGAGTAGGGACTTCCGTTATAGCTCACTCACCTTTCTCCACTAGCTATAGGAAGACCGTGGTTTTGTTTCTGTGTCCCACTCCAAGCCACCCACAAGTGCAGGGCACAAAATGTAAAAACCCGAGTTTGGAGCACAGCCGGAGGACTAAGGCGGCCTTCGTCTGCACACCTAGCACACTCTCCATGAAGAAATAACGGGCAGCTCTATTATTCCAGGCATCATGCTAATCACACCCATCTTCAAGTCTCACAATCACGTATGATATGGACAGAGTTCCAGTTCTTACTATATAGGTGAGGGGTATGGGACCCGAACACAAAACAGCGGGGACCTCGCAGGGACCAGGGTGGAATTACAGCAGAGTGGCCTGTATGAAACCTATGACCCTTCCTTCCGCCTTAGAAGTGTCCATACTCCCTGGCCAAGAACGGAAGACATGGACAGCCCAGAAGCCCAGGGCTGGAGCTTTCTCTACGCCTGAACTTCCTGCAGCGATAACCACCACCTAATTTTATGTATCAGTTTCCCCGGAATCAAATCTCACAACCCAGAGTACGAAGTGAGAGGCGAGAGACCCAGGACTGGCACATTCCCCGCATTCGCTACTGACTAAGCTAAAGAAACTGACATTTTAAATTGATTTCAAAGTTATTTCTGAAAACGAGGAAGACACTGTGATCAAATGTGTGTGACTGGAAGCCACAGCACTTCTCCTCACTCCGCACAGTCCTAGTGCACTGTTTTATTTCAAAAGCAGGAGAAAGGAGAGAATGACAAGAAATAAAAGTAAATCCGAGACCTGTAAGCCTCGGAAAGATCAGGAGACAGGCAGGTTTCCCAGGCTCGCCCCTGAGGCGAACCCGGCAGCATTAAAGCTATAATGAGCAAAATGGTATTTTACTAATGAGTACCTTCCCCTTTTGCGGGCTCTCCATTGTCTTGCGGGGAGCTCCTCTATAAGACAGGAAAGGGCAACTGTCAACCCGCTCCTTCTGGAAATTTCTCTTGACTACTACTCCTACCCTGCGCCAAGTCTGCACCACCCAGCTCATCAACTCCAGATGGTCAGAAGACCAAAGTCATCGCTTCTAAACTTAAAAAAAAGAAAGAAAGAAATCAGAACCCCAGATGCTGCGAGGGCCATTTGTGATGGCTAATTAACGGATTTTTATCATAAGAAACAAGAGGGTTGAATGAAATATTTTTAAACTCCAATAAAAATTTTTAGAAAGCCAACGAGAAAAAGCACATTAACATCTATGAAATATACTGTCTGAAGATAAAAATAATAGAATAATGTAAAAATTCTCTACAAACACATAAAATTAAGCAGCAAGTTATCAGATAACAATTCCACTCCAAGCAAATATCCAGAGAAATGAAAATGTACACATGCCTCACAGACGTGGACACAACTTTGACTCAGTCACTGACTGAGCATGCTCCTCAACACTAGGAAGGGCTGTTGTCTTGACATGTGCT